AGAGTTGGGTAGCAAATTTACTAGTGCAGTGAATATGCAGTACTGTGGCCAAAAAGGAAGTACACCAGTGAGGAGATTTTCTCAATCATCATTTGATTCTGGAAAACGAAATTGAACGTAGCTAGCTAGCAGCATATAATGATGCACGAGAAAAGCGAATTATCATGAATTTCCTTTCAGCTGGTAATAATGAATTGTGAACGCCTTTTAATCAAATGTGTTACTCTTCAGACGCGAAGTGATGTCATGAGCTTTGCAAGCTAGAAAAAGAAAGACGAGTTTGAAATGAAAACCCCCGCTTTCCAAGCACCCCAAAACCAGCAAGATCTGTTTTAAATAATGAGGACTTTGCATGGGCTGCAAATCAGCCAATACTCGCATTCGGTTCGAGAAAAACTCGTTTGACGCTCTGCTCATTTACTAACGAGTCGAGATTGAGCTAAATCTTGTTCGGCTAGCAAGGCTCTTGAATCAGCTTGTTGAGCTCAAGTCATGAGCTAGCTCGTCTTGAGATATGAGTTGGCTCGATAGGATATGTATCGAGCCACCTCAGCTGTCAACCTGTGAGCGAATCGGTCAATAATTTATTATTGACTTGTTGATAATTCATATGTTTGTTAGATTATATATCTCACTACATATGAAGTCTAAAAATTTGAGCATGTGATCAAATATGTATAATTTATAATTTAAAAGAGAAATTATGTATCACAGATTGCTCATGTTCTAGTTACTATTAAATAGCATGATATGAGCAATTAAGAATTATAAGCTAAATGATATGATATCGTAGCTCGAGCGGAGCTTAATTAGAACTCGTGAGCTCATTAATGAGTCAAGTTGAAGTCAACCTCAAGTAAAAAATTTAGTCGAGCTCGAGCTTGACTCGTTAAAATTAGTTCAAAACTCTTGTTGAGTCGGCTCATTTGCAGCCCTATTAATTAGCACATATGTCCGTAATTACCTGCTATCAAAGAATACTCAGTAAATCGATAAGAATGGATGATTCAATCTTACAACTTCCAGTAACTTCAAAAACAATTGCCAAAATGGTAAATTTTACAAGTTAAACTCGAACATATATCGTATCATATCAACTCTATTGTCTCATCGTATTAAGTATGATTCGCAAGAACCCATATTATCATTCTTGGCCCTGTTCTGTTCTTTTCTTTTCTACCTTTGCTATATGTACACTTTTTTCCTTTTGTAACAAACAAGACAAATTAAAGTTAAGCCCCTCCAAAGGGCAAAGACCCACCCAAAAAAGGAGAGAGGAGAGGGATGAAATTTTGTAGTGTTTGGCATCTACAAAAGACATGGAGGCAAAGTTTCCACGATCCCCTTACGTTGCCCTTTTGCAGAGTTCAAGAGAAGTGGTGGGGGAGATGGAGAGTTACAAGGTGGTAAAGGGGCAACAAGTGACCTCTCTTTTCCCTAACCGTCGCTCTCCAAATTCTCCCTTTCCGATCGTTTCTTTGATCCCTTTCTCTTTTCCTTTCAGTCAGAAATCCCTTGCTTTTTTCTTGCCTGAAAGTAAGGGAAATCGTGGAAACGGAGTTGTTGGGAGAGATATTTAATTATAGATCATAGATCATTTATTAAAAGATTCCCTCAAATGAAAGACATCATGTAAGGGTTTGAAGTTTGCATAGATCCTAATATCATGTGCTTAACAAAAAAGTTGAAAGTTCATCGGAATTCGAACTGAAGACCTCTCGGCACAGAAGGCTTTGATATAATGGCATAACTCAAGTTACTCAACTAGTCTATAGAACTCGAATGGTTGATAAATAACTTGTTAAATTTATATCTCATATACACCCATCAAACGAAAATCAGGCTTGAAATTGTGAGTCTGGATGTGGATGTTGCTTTTGTGAATAAGATTCCGATCATCGATCTGAAAGTGATGAGTGAGGGATCCAAAGAAGAAAGCGAGTTCATATATACGGCTAGAGACAGTGTTAAAGTAAGAGTACTATATGTACAAAATTTTCAATGGCTGCTGATCATGTGCCTGCTATTTCAGTCTTTACTGTTCATGACAAAAAGAGAAAGCTAGCTAGCCAGCCTAGCTAGGGTGACCATCACGTAACAAAAAAGAAGGTATATATATGTAGGGGTACCACTGATAATCACAACTTTTCTTTTCATATACGTTATTTGGAGACAGTGACGAAGTCAGAAATCTAAATGATAGAAGATAGGATTTAAATTGTCGTAATTGTTGGAGGAGGAGAATTAAAGCATTACCAACTATTATAATTTCTAGATTTTGTAAATTGTACATGTAATTTTATCTATATTTAATAATTGTGAGAAATTACAATCCTTGCTAACTTCAACCTAACTCCACCATTATTTGGTTGTCTGTAACATGTAAGTTTTTAAGGTTTGGTCAAAAGAAGCAAAGGGAGAAGAGAAAAGAAGAGAAAGCAGCAGCATATATACACGCGAATAAAATGGATTCACGATGGCGAGCTAGCTGCTGCTGCTTTTGATGATTGACTGGTCGCTTTCCCGAGACATTATCGCCACGTTCATCTTCTCGGTGCTTGTCCTATGAGCAACCCACATATATATTTACCCTGAGGGCTGGCTGGCTGGCTGGCTGGCTAGGGTTTGGTTTATGTGACTGAGTTGGATGGTTGATAGCTCGAATCTATCTACGTTAACATTATGATGATGACGACCACCCATGGCCATGAATGATGATTATGAATCTCTTTCTCATCTTTTTGTGGTTGGACCGATGCGTCCACATGCATATGCATGCATGCAGAGGGCGTTTCCGAAATCCGCTTTTAAATTTTAATGATTGGGATAAATATTTTGCAGAGATGGTGGCGGTGGTCCAAATTTATTGAACCGATGTTCGGCTCACCCTGCTTCCGGCGAAGCTTCATATAATAAACATGTATACGACTACCAACAACTCAAATTATTGAAACAATACCTGTTTTTGACATAGTATCAAAACTTTCTGTGCGATGAAGAGATTTTTTGTTAGAATCTCGATAATCCTTATTTATTCGATTAATTAATCACATGGTGTTCGAAACCTGTGCAAACTAAAACTAATCCTACAGATCCAGTCAGCAGTGTTATTGTTTATGGGCCTCTTCTTTTCAGTTGCACATTTTAAGAAGGGCCTTTTTGCATACATCGAATCCACATGGTTTAGATTTCTGTTCAGGGCTTCAGGATGGAAATTTCTTTCTGAAAGCTAAAATGACCATTTTCGTGGCCAATGGGCTAGAGATGATAGGTGTGGATAATGCACCCGTAAATACAACACGATGCCTGGGCCCGTTAGCAACTTGAAAAGTCCGGACCAATCAAGCTATGAGCCCTAAGGCCATAATAAAAATGGCCGTATAGTAATAGATCAACTGAGCCCACTCAAATGTTGAGCACTGAAACCAATTGGGCCTCAAGTTAGAAGGATACGGCCCGGTAGTCAATCCATGGAACTGGAAGCGATATTGCATATAAGAAAACGGGGAGTGGAGGGGCATGGGATAAGGCTGAGTTGAGAGCAAGCTAAGCTAAAGCCAGCAAAGCATATAATTCGTCACGAGACACAAGTTAAAGGGCGGAAGTTCATTTCATTTCATAAAATAGGGACATGTACCTACTCTAAATAAATGACTAAGACCCTTTACTTTCCCCTCCCACGGGCCCTACCTAGCTTAATCTTCCTAGCTAGCACTAAACCAAAATTCCAAACAAGAGAAAACAGAAAGATCGCTCTACGTTGACATATGAGATATACATGTAATAGGTTCGGTCAACCAAATTGTTTTGGTTGGATTTTGGTTTCTGGATTGGCTTCATTTCTTTCCAAAAAAAATGATTGCCTTTAACTTGTGGGAATTTAATGTGTTAATTTTATGAGATGTCAAATTTAAATTTATTATAAATTAATGATAAAAAAATGGTATTGTCTATATGTTTGTATTGGTAATATAATAGAGGAGAAGAATATCATTTCTTTAGTGTGCGATTGTTGTAGATTTTCATTTCTCATACTCTTCAAATCTATCGCCAATTATCTCGGTTCTAGCTTTTCAAATAAAAATTATACCAGTTTAACTATGTATCCTAGTTGATTGCTTCCCGACTTCCAAAAATTAAATCCGTCATCGTTTCCCTTATATGATTCGAGTTTGAAGTGCTAATCTTTTCTTTTAGGAATGAGGTCCTAATCATAGTGCCTAAGGAAAAGTGGAAAGCATTATCATCAATGTCGTTTTGGAGCAACATTGACTTCACTTAATTGCGATTTATTAATGAGCACGAAATTTCCTTTTCTTTCCCAACAAAGCTCCTTATGTCATAATCATATTATTACTTCCACGGCTAAATCTTCATTTGGGCTCTATCTCATCTTTTTTTTAATTTATCCCACTAAATATCCTTATTGATAAATTTTTCAATATTTTTTGAGCCAATTTAATTATTTTGGTTAAGGATAAACATGTCATTTTATAAACAAATATAATTCTTTTTTTTATTGTATGTTAACAATCGCAGTTATCAAACAATAAACATTTTCAAATCTTTTTTCAACAATCTGGAGAGTTCAAATCTTTGTATTGTTTAGAATCTAGAGATTTAGACTCTAATTCTCCAAACGAGCCCTAATTATGTAAACTGTACTCAAACCAGAGCTACAGCCTACTTACTGTAAGCCCAAAATTGCCATCGGCCCAAGTTTTTTTTTTCAAAATAAAGCAATTAAGTCCAGCAGCACAGCGACTGACATCAGTCCACTTTGCAACCTCCACGTCACCACTCTAATTTCTTTTATCTTTCTCTCCCAGTCTCTCACCTGCCCCTTTTCTCCATCATCTTCCACTTCATCCCTTCCTCTCCAATTCCCCCCATCTTTTCCTAATTCAACTCCTTCCTCCGATCCCCTCCAAAATTCCGCCGGCAAATCATGTGACATCATCATATCACGGCCGCCGCTCTTCTCACCCCTTCCACAAGCCATGAATTTCGTAAACAAGCTCGGTTTGGTGCTAACCGTCGTCTTCGTGATCTCCCTCGTCTTCCTCTCCCTCCAGATCCTCTACCTCCTCTGGCGGAAGAGGCGCTTCCAGCAGACGGCCGGCCCCGCCGCCTCCGCCGAGTTCGGCAGCAGCGGAGGAGGCGACCACCACCACCACGACCAGGCGTCGGCTCTGTCGCCGTCCAAGGAGCTGCTCTACTTCTTCTGCTGGAAGAATTACCAGGCCAGCCGAATCGAACCGGCCGACGCCGCCGCCGTCTCCGTCGGGGTGGTCCCGGCAGCAGCATCGGCGCCGACTGAGGAAGACGAGGAGCTGGAGGAGATGCTGAAGCTTCACCAACTGTACGGTGCTTCGAGGGCTCTGTTCACGATCAAGGAGGAAACAGAGAGGGAGGAGATCGAGAACGACAGCGCGTCTTCTCTGCCGCGAAACGCCGTCGTTACTGCAGAGACGATGAAGAAGACGACCGATGTTGGACAACGCAAAGAATCGACGGATGTTTTGACGGTGACGGCGCGGGAAGTGGTGGTTGTGATTGACTTTGACGGCGAGAGCGACGACGATGATGAAGCGACGCTGTTTAGGACGCCGTGCGGTTCCCCGCCTTACTACACGCCGTCGCCTTCACCTCCTCGCGATCAGGACAGGCAAGACCCAGAGGCCCGTCTTATTACTGTCAAAATAGCCGGCCGTTAGTTTGTTGGTCGATTATTGTTCATATTCTTAACGGTAGTTCCCCCCTTCCGCCGGTTCGTCACCGGCCGGCCAGGGTTAAAGCCACGTAGCAGCTTTCCCTTTTCTTTTTTTTACTTTCACTTTCACTTTTTTTGTTGGTTTATTAATTTGAAAACTTATTTATTTATTTATGAACTTTTGAAATGGGGGGTGTAGATTTGGATTTGACGGGCTTTTAATAACCCGCAATCTGCCCGATCTAGTTCCCAGTAAGTAGGCCCGGCCCAGTGCTCGATCGTTGCCACGTAAGCGACGGTGGGAACCGTCGGATTTACTGCGGTGGGGAAAGAGAGGTCGTATTTTAAATTTCGGAGGCGGTGGGTGACAGCCGGCAGCGACAGTAATAATGGTGTGGGAGCAGTAAAAGAGGGAGGCAAAGAGGCGGTGGGAGGGGAGGGAGTAAATAATTTTGTGACCGTTGGTGTTAGTAATTGTATAACGTTTGGATGCAAATTAAATTTACCCTTTTTCCAGATTCCAAGCTATGATTGAGATTTGAGAAACCGCGCAGTAAATGTAGTAATACACAGATTTTGCAAATACGGCTGGATTCTGGGAAGTGGCTGAGAGAAATTGAGAAGCATATTTGATTCGTTCTGATCTCGTGTTGTTGTTGGGTTGTGTGGAAAGTGTGATTTGGGGGGGAAAGGGACTTGCACTTGAGATGAGAATAAGACCAACTCAACGTGTCTTACCGGTTTGGAGATGCTATTTAACTCATTCATTTGTTCATGGATGACCAAGTTCATAAGATAGTTATTTAGCCTGGTTTGGTTTTGACGATAAATTAAATTGATGTATTGTGAATTATATATGTATAATAGACAGTATACATGTAATTAAGAATTTTGGTCTATTGCGATTTCTATAGTTTGAGTTTTTGTAGTATATGAAATAATTATATAACTTTTTAGTAAAATATTACTTTTTATCTTTTGTTCTTAATATAAAATAGTAACACTTTCAAAAAGTTAAGAGTATAGTTGAAACATAATTATACACAACAATCTCATCTAAAATATCTCAACAATCTCATTTGAAATGTGAGATTTAACTATCGCTCATTTTTTTAGTGATAGTTTGTGTCGCATCAAACAAGGTTTGTATTGTTTGTACAGAAAAATGTAAAATAAAAAATGATTCATTGTAAACAATACAAGAATTTTGACAATCTCAATCAAACTATTTCCAGAATCAAACGACCTCAATGGTCAATGAACCATTATTATGCTGTGGGAATTGTTTTTGTGAAATACCTATTGAAGTTCAAATGTAACTATTTTAACTCTTGTATTGGTTTGATCAACCCTCGATATGGGCATTATGGTAATTACAAAATTGACCTAGAGCTCCTAAAATTTATGTTTTTACTTATAGGCAGTATTAGTTCAAGGGAATTGACCTAACTGGGGCGTGATCGAGTTGGGGATTTTAGCATTATATAAGGAGTAGACTACACTACATAGAGTATAGACTCCGAATCCGTTGACTTAAAGAGTAAAAGTGGACATGTGTGGAAGAAAATAAAGAATAAAAAACTTCGATTGTCGAAACACATTTCCAGGAAATACAACCGGTTGGCGTAATTATGTCTGCTTAGGGTTTGTTTAAATTATCTAACAATTGAATTAAGAAACCAACTTGCCCTCTGGCGTCTAAACGTTGGCTTAAAACTTTACTTTAAAGAAATTCGCAACTATGGTTTGGCTGGAACTTTTAACAAGTTCGCCGGGCGTTTCTATTCCTGCATTTTATTTTCCAGCAAAAGAAATCACGACATGAATCATGTATGTGATGTTAGATACTGTTCAAAAAATATAAATATGAAAAACACATTATGAGTACAACATGGACAACCTCTGGTTGAAGTAAATTGCGTGGTCCTGGAAGTTTGGGGACTGAAGATGAAGATGAAGATGATGGTTGGTTTTGGAGTTTGGTGACAGATAAGAGGGTGCATTGTTAAACCGCTAATCACATTAAAATTGTTCGGTTTGTGGTTAACCACAAATCGAATAAGAAGGCTCTTGCCCAGTTGTGGCTAGTTATATTGGTTGTCTTATGGTAAGCGATTTAAATCGTAATTGAATAAAAATGAACCGTGCGGTTTTGGATTAGCCACAAACCAAATAAAAAACTTCGAAGGTCCTTCCAGTTCCCTACATGTTGTCGTCTTCGAAATTCGCTCTTCAAAAAGCATGGGGTCCTCCCTAGACACCATCAGCCACACAGAACACACACCGTCTCCGCAATCGTCGGCTGTAGCACACCAGCACCTTCAAGCAGACACCTTGTTACGGCGTCGTGGCTAACAGTTTGCGGTGCGATCGCGGTTGGCATATATGGCTACATTTCGGTTGCGTTTAACTGTAAATTTTAGTGCGGTTAACTGCAATTGCACTCATTTCCTGCCGTAGTGAAAGATTGGAATTAGCATTTTACAGAGGGAGAAAGAAGAAGTGGAGGCAGGAATTCAATGTAGTTAAAAGCGAGTTTCTAGGTAGAAACGTATTGGTGATCTAGAAGCGTAAAATCGTAAGTTTTTAAGTTTTAAAGCGGAGTTTTTAACTACATAGGTTATAAAAACTGAGATTTTGTGTAGAAGCGTTTTAGTGACCTAGAAACGTAAAAACGTAAGTTTTTAAGTTTTAAAGCGCGATTTTGACTACATTGGGCAGGATGGTGACAATAGTGTCTGAGGGCAAATAAGACGACAAAAAAGCGGGAATGTATTTTTTCTTTTAAGTTGTCGATTAAAATAAGGGAGTGGAGGTAGAAGACCCTACGAAATTAAGATCTTCCATCAATCTACTATAGTACTATTTGATTCGGACGACCCACACCTCATATTAGGAGAAGAAGGGGCGGTATGATAATTCTTATCAATATATTTTTTTCTTTTTTAAGGAAGTGGTTAAGTACCATATATGAGCCTGTATAAGATCTAGCATAACCTTCTCCCAACAACTCGAGTTATTGGGACTAACTGGTTAATGACATCCTATCAACGATTGTTTGTTCGTGAGGTCATGTGTTCGAGTCCTCACGACCCCCAATATTAACTATTATCTTTTGCTGTCAATGATTATAGAGGAGAGCGAAGAAATTTTTTATTAGTTTAAACCCCTACTTTTCTAATTCTCTATTTTCCTTAATCGGATCATATATTAATCATTTTATAGCAAAAATTTTAAAAAAATAGACAAAATACAACTAAATAGTCATAACTTTATACTTTGTAGCAATAATAGCCAACTTATGAAAAATACACTAAAAAGTTTAGGAAAAATTGAAAATTCTGTCATTTGACACATTTTCCCCTTATCTCTCTAGACTTTCTATCTAGCTTACTATACCTTTTTTTTTTTACAAAAGATAATCACTTATATTGATTGGATCAAAAGATATTACATCCTGGATACCAGGCAGACCTGGAAATCAAAATAACGACTTGTAGCCGGGTACAAAGCAAGGGCCTTTCTAGCCACCAAATGGGCTACCATATTTTTACTCCGACCTACAAAACGAACTTTAAGAGCACTATGATTTGTAAACATCCCAATAAGCTCCTCCAAAACCGCCCCAATCTGGACATCATTCGCATCCCTCCTTGTAACATTGTCAATGACATTCTGAGCATCACCTTGGAAATAAGCATCCTGAAAGCCCAACTCGAGACACCATACCACTGCTTCCCGAAGAGCCAGCACCTCAGCCACCAAAGGGTTATCGAGATCTGGAAACTGCACGCCACGAGCCAGCAGAATATTCCCAGCGAGGTCCTTAAGCACGATCCCTCCTGCCGAATGAGACCCAGGCTTGGTTGCCCCATCCCACATACATGTAACTGACTGCACCATAGTGGCCAGACCCGGAGTAGGTTGAGAGGGATACACACCCACAGCCTGGTCCACGGGGAGCGTCACCCATTCTTGGTATTGCTGATAATACTGCTGGAGCAGCGCAGGAACCCCAAATTGTTTTCCTTCAAAGACCACCCAATTACGTGATCGCCAAATACGCCAAAGGACAGAAACCACTGCCATAAACAGATGGGGCTGATTAATAATGGACATCAACTTTTTCAAGAACAGGGGGAGGTATGGCGAGGCAACCCTTGACCAAGATGCTCCAACCCTGCCTGGTCCCAAAGGGCCCTGGCTACCCTACAGTCAAAGAACAGATGCTCCATCGTCTCCTTCTTAGCCTAGCAGACAGGACAACGAGGCTGAACTATAACGCCCTTCTCAATCAACGCTTCGGTAGTTGGAAGGATGCGACGGAACACTTTCCAAAGGAATACTTTCAGTTTAGGGGGAATATTAGCATTCCATAAACGTATCCAACTTGGCTTATCCATTCAGCTAACCACGGATCTCCACCGCCCCTCCTGTTTGTCAAGCAAAACAGCAAGGTGGTAGGTTGACTTAACTGTAAAGATTCCATCGTCTGTCATATGCCAAATGAGCTTGTCCTCAACATTACAGCGTGGAAGGGGAATCGCCTTAATTGCACAACACACTGCTGGGTCAAACCATTGCTGGAGCTTCTCATCACAGTACATTCCTTCTCCTTGACACATAACCGCCTCTACCTTCGGTTCACCCCCCTCTGGAATGACCATGGGATTATAAACCGGGCTATTAGGGTGGAGAAGGGGAATCCAATTAGAAGATACAAGAGAGGCAGTCCGCCCATTTCCAATCTGCCAACGGAGACCACAGAGAAGCAGCTGACGTCCATACAGGATACTCTACCACCCCATGAAGAGTGATACCTAGGGGTAGCAGTAAGAAAAGTTCCCCTGGGGAAATATTTCCTTTATAGACCTGCGCCAGGAGAGACTGGGGCTCAGCCAGGATTTGCCACCCAATTTTTGCCAATAAGGCTTGATTAAATTGCTCAAATCTTCGAAATCCCATGCCACCCTCATGATTACTAGTACACATATTACGCCAGGA